TTTCCCTCATCAGTAAAGCCATTTAAAACAACACTACACAAAAAAAGGTCTCCAACATGTACTGAAATGATCAAAACTCAAACATGGTAAAACCTGAAAGATGTCCTGCTTAGATATGCCAATATAAAGAGAATGTTTTCCCTATTTACAAAACGATCCTTGCAGGATGCTTCTTCAGTAAGGTGAGCAGGGGATCACACGACCAGGTGACATTTTTATCTGATGCTGAAGTACGGACATTTTTTTATAGAAGAAAGGACAACAGCTGGTATTCTGTTAAAATAGAGGAGGGAAAAGATATTTAAGAGCAACACATACTTTGAATTCTAGGTCTTCAAACTCCCCAGTGTTTGACAAAATCTATAGCAGAAGCAATCTAGGAGAAATTATTAAACTTCTCACCACTGGGGCCAGATCCAGCAATCGTGGCAGAAACATCAACTGAAATTTCAGCTAGGACACTGCTGTCTATTTGTGCCGCTTAGTAAATCTAATTTTCATGACAAAAGAATGGCCATCTTTTCCAGAATAGAATATACAAAAATTGCATCATCTAAATGCAATTATAAATATTTTAATTGCAGAATTTTCTCTCTAAAACCACAGAAAAAGAAACGTACAAGACCATTGCTCATATCTGCTGTCCCTGAGCAAGAGCCCTGTTGCTGTGATTAGTACAGCCTAACAGATGAACATCTTCATGCACATGATCAACAAGGCCAAAAGGTCACTATGGTTTTAATTTCCTATAAAACTCATATCTTAACTAGACTTCGCATACATTTTTCAGATAGTACACATACCTTGAAGTCAGCAAATAACAAAGTTAGATTAAAAATCACTCGGTGTAAACTCCTATTCATAATTTTGATCCCAAACAGCCCCAAGCAGAGCAAACTTCTCCAGAACTTCCAGCTTTTGGGCCCTACATAGGGCTCCTTGGTACAGAGACAGCCTCTGTGAAGGAGAGATTTCACCAGGGTAAAGAGTGCAGGACTGAACCTTTGTACAGCTGTAATCATACAATTCTCCTCCCTTACTACTGTGTTTCACACCAAGCTTATTATCCTTTCATTTACAAATCTTTTTAATAATTAGTTTAAATTTGACTCCCAGGTTTGGAGGTTAATAATAGTGAGCTAGTCAAAGTGTCCTGAGTTTGTTGTGAGATAAATTTGAACTTGTATATCCCCTTCTGTATATAGAGATTTTCAAAGATAATTTTATTCAGCTTGTAACTACCAGCACAAATGCTGATTCTAAATATATCTGCTGAACTCCAAATGACTTCTGTTTATAGAAATAGGACATAACAAGCTATTAAATCTTCCTTACAACAAATTGTCCTATGCCAAAATACTTGCTCCAGATTTTTGAGCTACGGTTTAAAGACTTGGACTGACAATCAGAAGAAAAGTTGTAAGATAGCTGTTATTGCAGTGTATTTCGTCACTGAAGTCCTTCTTTAGAATATTAGAATAATTTGATTTTAGTTTTAATTCTGCATTCTCACAGGTTTAAAAATATATATACTTTTAAATGGTGCTTGGAACCTCCATTAAATGATTTAAGAATTCAGCATGACACATTTTTTCTATATAGCATCCAAGTAAATGCAGAAGAAACAGAACACAATAGCAACAACAACAACAAAAATCCTGCATACTTTTGGTGACTCTTAGTACTAAACAGAAGTTACAGAGTCCTGAGGACTCCACCACTTACTTTTTTTTCCTTCTCTCCTCTACAGCTCCAACCAGCTCAACAAAGATGGAGCTGTTTCTTCAGGTTCCAAAACCTAGAAGTGGTTAGTAACTATTAAGAGGTTCTTATTCTAAATTACACACACCTAAACTGTCAGGGAACAACAGAAATTTTGATCAAGTAAGAGTCAAACTCTGTCTGGTCGAAGTGAAGAGGAACAGAAATAACACAGCGTGTTGCTTTGAAATAATCTATTTATCACTAGGCAGTTTGGGCCAGAAGTTTGACAAGAATCATACTTAGATCTACTCCTCACAGCTGAAACCATTTGCCTTTCAACAACTACTTTGTATAAACTTTTTTTTTCCTGAAAGGATTTTCTTTTGATTTCTCCTGAAGTGAGAAGACAGGACTTTTTTTTTTGTTTGTTTGTTTTTAAAAGAAAAAAAAGAGAAAAAAAACAACCAACAGATAAAAAAAAAAAAAAAAACAGAAAAAAACTACTTAATGAATACAAGAGGGTTCCTCGTTCCCCCTTCTTTTCAATTTAAGACAATAAATTCTCTTCTCTTTTGCAAGGAATGGTCCCTCTCATTCATATAGTGGAAACAGTACCATGCTAACGAGAACAAGCAAAGAAACAACCCCTTTATTATTTTACATCCACTTATATAATTATAGCTGACTCAGCGTCCTTAAAATCCTCCAGAAATAAGGTAAAACCTTAATTTTCTTACCAAAAAATGAATGCTCCTATACAAAGTCTTTATACAGAGGTCAAAATGGTCACTCCTTGTGAATATTCTAATTTAAACAGGCATTTTAAGTGTTGAAGCACAAAATATCAGTGATGTAAAATATCTAAAAAATGTAATGATTCAATTAATGCTGAGTTACTCCATGCATGAATGAACAATTTGACCTGGGCTTGAATACAGTATTTTAATAATGCAGCTGCCATATTCATTGGTCTCTACATTTCCTGAAAACTAATCTGCCAAATAAGTTATACAGTATTAATCTTCTGTGCTTCCGTTCTTGGAGTGCTGAGTTAGTAATGCTCCACAATTGCACGTCATGTCACTGAAATGCTACATTTAAAAAAAAATTAAATAACCTTTGCAGATATTATAACTCTAACACATTTTAGGTTCAGGAACTACAACTACCACATTTGAAGATCTGAGTGTGAAGTACTGGCTTCTAGGTAACTTCAGGTCAATTTAGGCATTAATTTTTTAAATACCTTTATTCATTCCTTCATTCATTTTTCCTCCAAGAGGCTGTCAGAACCATAGCTGTTCTGTACTTCAAACCCCTAGTAATGTGATGTCTGTCATAAGGTGTACAGAAAATAAATGAACTAGGGTTAAAGCTATTTTCATATAAAACAAAAATTTCCATGTGCTACGTAAGAGCCTCGCTTTTACCACCTTATTGGTACTATTCCAACCTGCAGTCACGTGAAGTGTTGGATCTAACAGAGCATGCTCTGACAAAGCTGTGCCTGTAATACCAAGCAAGGACTTGTAGAGTTCAGATGAAAGTTGTGCTAGCCTGGGCCCTCAAGAGCAATTGTTTTCTTCTCCTATAAATATAGCTTGTTTCATTTCATGAAGAAATTACAAAGACAGAAATAACCCTTGAGCAAAATCAAATTCAGTATTGCTTTGGCAGAGTAATTCAACCCAGTGCAATCATAAGGAAAATTACTGATGTGCAAAAGGACTCATGATTGACAAAGGACTACAATAATGTTGGACAAACATTTACAATTTCAGATACATAAATGACTAAAAAAACCCTAGGAATTCTCTAAGTGCAGATGACAACAGCATTACGGTTAATATCTAATCACCAGATTGTGAGAATGTTCAGTAGTGGGGGACAGGATTAACATATTGCTTTAAAACATTCCATTACTTTCTGCATCTGTTTACTGATAATAAAAGAAACAGCTGTTCTAAATGTAACATTAACAGGTGTAAACCATTCATTTGAGATTTTAAAACAATAATTCTCATCCATTTCCTCTTTAGCTATTTTGAAATGTCATTATGAACACCCCTCCTATTAGCTTACACAATTAACTTGTAATTGTTTAACCTCTTCTCATGTCCGCCAAACATATACATGTGGAGTTAGCTTCCTTCTCATTTTGTGCAAAAGGCTCTGTTCTTATGCAGCGCACATCCTGAACTAATTCACCAGATGTGTTCCATAAAATGTTTGGTCACACTATTCAGCAGCTTTCCTTTAACAACTGTTCTATATCAAATTTACTGTAAAAAAGCATCATAATTATGAAGTAACACTGTATCAAATTCACAGACCTAATATCTCGCTATGTGTAGTTAAACTATGAATGATAATTGAGCTTGAAATTGTATATTTACTTTAAATAAGTCCTCCAAATCATCTGCAACAATGTGTGCTTAATTCGAAACCATTAACAAAAGATTTAACATTTCCACATTTATACTCTCCATAATTTTAGATATGATACTCCATAGTTGAGAGAGAGAGAAAATAAAAGCCAATTCTGGTAGGTTTCCAGTTGGAAAACGTACCTTAAGTTTCTTATAATGGTTAACCCAACCTGCTAAATGCTGGGCATAAAAGGAAAAATAATAATAATAAAATATATATATATATAAAGAAATCAAGAATCCTTCAATATTGCAGCCAGAAAAAATAATTCAGAGATACAGGTTTGTTTAAGAAACACAGACTACACAAAACTTTACAATACCAAAACCAGACTTATCTATGAAAGACGAAAGCTATGAAGACCAAATGTTACAACATTTTCCCAAAAAAGTAAACAAATCAAAATATATTAAAAAAAAAAAAATCTGCTCTTTAATGTTTACTTTCATTAAAGTAATACCAATATGCAAGTAAAAAAGAAATGGAATTAAACCACTTGCATAAGTTGTGACTGCGGAATTATCAGTTTTGTAACTAAGATGTTGCTTGAAGGTGTTGATTCTATTGCTAAATATTTTAAATATTCCATATTAAAATACAGAAATATAGACGAGGAGCCCAGTTTAACAACATACATCATAGATTTTACTGCTGCCAATGACTTGCTAAGCGTTCCTGAAATAAGTTAAACATTCCTCTGTTTTTGCTATTATTCTCTGAACTGCTACTATTCATACTGAAGGAAGAAAGAAATCCATGGAAATACTCCAAATCCCTTCACACACGCTTCTTTACCAAGGGGAAACGGAAACTTCACTATTAGGATTCTTAATACATTTAGAAAAGAAACATGTAAAAGATGTTACCTTCATTGCATGCTTATGTATATATGCAGGGAAAATCATTCTTTCTTCAATGAGATTTTCCTGTATTAAAAAAGAAAATTGATATTCAATGGCTTCATATTTAAGGAATATGCAACTTTTCAGAATTTGGAGAAGGTGAGACGCTCAAGCTGTAAATGCACCACCGCTGCTGCTCAAAGCACACAATCATGTGGAAAAAAAAGAAAAAAAAAAAGGTGAATCTACACACAGACAGAAGTTTTTGTTTGTTTGTTTTAAACTACTATTACTAGAGCATATTTTAGCCTGAAAAGCCCTAAATTATCACACAAGGACCACTGCTACCTGCACTAAGCTTATTTTGGGAAGGGGAGAAACAACGCACCATGAGAAGTTTCACAAGCAGTAACACTTCGACATGCTGATGGCTGAAAGGAAGGCACAATGCTCACTCATAGCCAGCCTCAGACCTGCCAGCTGATCGTTTTAATTATCAAATTTGCACAAGAAACAAAATACCAGCAGAGGGCAGCGCAAATACTTCAAGTCCAGCAAGATGCCCAGAGCCGGTCATCTGCCCACTCCACGCCATCACCTCACAGGCCTGCCTCTGGCCTTTCCTCTAAAGGAAGAGGCCTAGCACAACGATAACTATGTCTATTCGTTGTTTCACATAAAAAGATGAAGAGTTTTGCTTTATTTCAAAGAGCAAATGCCACATACCTGTAGGCAGAAGACATGTAGCCCACACACGCTCTGAGGAGAGCCTGGTGGGATTTGTCACTTCATGAAAGGTCTGAGTGACACCAGGCAGGGATGTAATGACAATATGTTGCTGGGCCTTTCTTTGTGGGAGCCATTACACCAAGCACACCATTTTGGCTTCCTTTAAACCACCAAAAGCCATCTAAACCCACCCCCCACGCCCATCAGCAAGTTCAGTGCCAGAACAACTCAGCTTTAACTCACGTGCCCATAACCACGAGTGCTAAGGAGAGGAGGTGCCCAGACTTGCTCCCCAAAGCCATCCTGCCAGCAACCAACCTCAGCACAGCCCTCAGAAAACAAACTGTACACTCACCATCCTAAGGGAAACGAGAAGGGGCAGCCTCTGTGGCAGCGGACAGCCAACCTGGCCTGAAAGGCAAGAGGGAAGCCCCAGGGCCTAAGGGCTTGGCCTAATGCACCTGCCCTGACAGAAGTGCCTGGTGCTAATTTGCTGCCATGGCAACTGAGAGCAACTTGGCACCTGTGTGAAATATCATAAATCCCAATTTACGATTCACCCCCCCTTTTTTTTTAAACTCAGCCTAGGGGATGGATAATGATTGAACACTTTTTTCCTCTGAAGCTACTTTTTCCTCTGAAACTTGTCTCATCAAAGATACTAGTAGCTGGTCCAAAGTAAACAGTTTATTTTTTGGTAAATAAATATTAATCTCATTAACTGCTATATATTACATCAACTACCCTTCCCAGCTGACTAAAGTTGGTATACATATTAAGTTCTACCAGACTTCATTTGGTGATCCATTCTCCCAATTCTCTTTGGCATTTCTGTTAGGGCTACTCTATGAACTCTTAACAGTTTATATCCAAACAGAAACTTAAATAAACAAAGTATAACCTTCTGTATCCACTGACACCCTGGGATCCTGTTTCCCCTGTAGAGCCAAGTGTCACATCTCCTTCCTGTGTCTCCATGCACCTACTCTCCAAAAATCTGCACTGACTGACATTTACAGCCAACATGTGCCCAACTTTCGTCACGATCTCATCCTGTGCTTCTCTCACAGGCACAAAATCCCTCCATAAATTCATCCCAACACATCAAAATCTGTTGAAACCTTTAGCAGCTGGGAAGCATACTGCCTGGACCCAAAAGAAAGGTGGCTAACTGCTCAGTCACCCACGTGGTGGCACCAGGCATCAAATGGCCTTTCAGTTCGGCAGCACATCAACCCTCAAAGTATCTGAAGGCTTTCAGAGGTACTCCTTCACAGCTACGCTCTAAGACTAGATCAAGTATTACAGTAGATGTTAAACTTTCTCTTCTTTCAGAAAAACCACTCCTTCCCCACTTACACTTAACTATTATATTATTACTATTATAACACAGGATTTACTTGAAGGATCTCAAAGCCTAATATTTCACCTGTTCTCAGTCTGACCTTGCACATACACGAGAGGTAGGAAACAGCAACAGTGAAAATTGCATTGTCTTGTGCTCCTGCTCCTACCAAGACAGCAACAGTAAGGGAGTACCTTGTTTGCTACTACACCTTACCTTAGATCAGGCCTTTGCACTGTTCTTCCTTTTGCATTTAGTGCCCTATATTTTCTTCTACGTGCCTCACAAGCAGAAGTCAGCATGTGTTTTGAATGGAGCAGAAGTCTCAGCAGCAGGTGGCTGGGTCATCTGCATGCATAATAGAGCAAATGCTGGATTCAGCCTGCCTTTTGCCTGCATGGAGGCACAAGGTGTATGCTGTCATGTACTGCTCTTAGGCAATTTATTAACTTCATTTACTAGTTCAACGTTGGTTGAAACACAGCAATAAACCAGTAACTGGCATTTTCACTGTATGCATTTGCGTATCTGGTCTGATATTCTCATCCACAAACTAGCTTACACTTAGGCCTTTTAGCAACCTTCTAACCACTTATCTAGCAGCCACAGAAATACTGAAAAGGTAGGTCTAACTCTCAGTTTCCTAATGCCACAATTTGCTATGACAGAACAACTGGGTATAGACATATTTTCAGGTAGTAGACATATTTTCAAGACCTTTCTTGAAACTTTTGAAACATACTAATTCAGCGACAGTGCAGCTGCTATGCACAGCAAGCATAATCTACTAACTTTATGGAAGTAGCCTACTACTCAAAATACAGGAGAAAACACTAGGTTATGGAAGGAAGAGGATGAACAAGTTTACCGTAATCAGCAGCTCTTTATATAGTAGACTTCTCTCTAGTTATGCCACATTCTCCTTAAGTGAGGACTGTTTGTGCTTCTCACTCCCTGTTTATGTACAGCACTCTACCAACATATATTGACACCTGCTTTCAGTGCCAGCCTTTCCAACCTGTAGTTGTGACTCTTATCCTTTTGTCTTTTAAATCATTTGCCAGTTTTTGATGACCTAAAGCTGTAAGTGTGGTGTACTTCTAAGATTCACACCTTTGTAAACTAAGGTTAGAAATATTCTGAGTTATTTGCATAATTAGAGAAAAGCCTTTTGAAGACTAAGACTTCAATACCCATTTACACAATCTTGCTATTTTCAAACAGAAATAACACTATGAATTTGTGGCAACAATACCTGTACAGGGCAATGCCAAATTTAAATACCTACAGCTACCTCGCTTCCTTTAAAAATTATCATCTCCTGTCACAGTGCAGTAAGTTTTGCTGGGCTCCAATGAAAGCAGTTTCTAACCACTTCATATCTAAAGCATTTTGATATACTGGTTATTTTCTAAACATGCAGCAATAAGGACAGAATCAAACCAGTTGAGAATATTGCTTTAATAAATTCTTAAAAAAAAAAAAAAGTTTGTTTCTCTACAGTATTAATTTATTTCCATTTGTCAAGTAGCATTTGAATCTAAATCAAAAAACTCCAGAAAGTGAACTTACAAAAATAAAAAGTCATTATACAAAAGCTTTACACAAAACATTCTGAAGTTACAGAGTAACGATCAAAATTAAGTAAGAGAGAAATGATCCCAAACAAAATGTTCCATTTACTGAATAAATTCCTTGGAGTTGTGCTTGTTAACTTCTGGAATATCTGTTAAGTGATGAAAAAAAGGACGACCATGAACACAGCCTTTATTTTCCCTTCCAAGCTGTTGCTTCATCCTGTAAACTGTGTTTTGTACATCTTCTTTTGACAAATGTAAGGGCAGCTGCCGAGCTAAACGCACTGCTTCTCCCTGTGGAAAGGAAAACAAAACCAAAAACCCAATAGTATTAAAGTGCCGCTTTGTAACATATTAACCTGAGGCTACCAGAAAGCAGGAATTAAGCACTCACTGTTGAAAGGTCACTTTTCTCTTTTCTGCTGATATATTCTGAACATTCTGAATCCCAGAAACTCAAATGGAACTCTAAACATATCTTACTGGTCATTTCATGCACTTCTACAAGAGTCACACATAGTCTCCTGGTCATGTCTGTACTCTTTTCTTTCTTTTAGGGTCCACTTTTGCAAGATGCTCAGTGTTTCTGAATGTAAGATTTTCTGTTGGCAACAGTATCAACTGAAGACATTTATCAGTTCACAAGACACACTGTACACCACAAGATAACGAACTAGCATAAATTAAACAGCTAAACAGTTTTAAAAATAATACAGTGAAATTTTAAATCAATGCTGTATTAACTATAACCTACTGCATTCAATTATCTCACAGTACTAGAAAGCAGAAGTGACTAGTTACTAAACACAACTACTGAAGCACCCACCCGCAAAGAATCCGACAACTTCCAAACGAATTTTTCAGACAATTTTTGCTTCTGGGTCTACCAGAAGATGGTAAAAGATGAGGAAATGCTGACTGCTCAAACATGAAACTCATGATAGAAGTTGCAATTCTGAACATGACAGCAGACAGCACTTCCAGTGTTTAGCCCATCAGAATGGCAAAAAACACCCAGTGTTTATCTTTAAAATCTTTGTTTCATGATTGCAAGCCATATACTTCCTAGTAAACATGCATTTTCCAGCTACTTTTATTGCTGTATGCGCTTCCTCTTTTTAAACGCTCCTCACAGGATTTAAAATTGTTTTTAATAAAGCTTCCTTTGATAATTTCTTAATATTTATCTTTATTATTTATATATATACACACCTTTATGCACACACCTCTCTTCTAAACACCAACCTTCCTACAAACCAATTCCATTCCAGTCCATCTGACTGAAGAGTGTTTATAAGTAGAGAAAATAAAGCTTCCACCTTCAAACCAAGTTACATTCCTGCCTCAGGGCTTAACTCACCCCTTCTTCAAGGGTGCATGAGAATGGTTCGGTGGTACACAACAGAATCACACTTGCTTCAAAGGCAGCTGTAAATTTGCTGCCTCAAAAAGACAGGAAAAGATCTGTACAAGTAATATTTAAAAAGTCAAGTATATATTCTTTGTAAATGCCCAAGTCCCACTCAGTAGCCTGATTCAGGAAAGTGTGTTGGCAATTACTTAAACCAAGAAAAAATTGAGCATGTACTTTGGTATTCTTTCTTCACAGATTGCTAGGAATTGGAATTAAGGATAGCATTAGTGAAACATCTAGAATTAAGATTAAAAAAATGATCGAAAACTACTCTTGTTAGTTACTCCAGCTTTAACTAGTACCGTATGTATTAACTGTATGTGAAAATTCATGCCCATTATTGTCTCTGGACAGACAAGTTCATCTATTTGCATATCAAATATTGACAAAAGGCATTCCAGTTCCAACTGTTGCATAGTAACTTCTGAAAACAGATTAAAGATTCTTTTACTCAAGTACCATACCTCTAGCTGCCTATGAAAAATGCTGGCTGCTGGTGGAGAACACGTGGTTTCCTCTGCCAGCACACAGCAGAACTTACTAGTGCACTGAATGCAGTGGTCTTCTAGGACTGTCAGTTGTCAGCATGTGCTTCCTTTAACTGCAGAAGTTATTGATGTTACCTAAATACAAGCATTTGCAGAAGCATGTGGATTTCACTGCTTGTGAGACTTCATTTTTTTATTTCCATGTCTTAATTCCAGTGACAGCTTGCTTTCTGGCAAGGAAGTCTCCCTTTGTCTCTATCCTCTCTTTGCCTGAATCATAGGAATTTTTCTTTGAGTGAAAATGGTGTACTTTCTGCTTTTCAGGACGTGTATCTCATTGAGTTTTACATGACAATTAGCTTTAGATAACACTTTTCATGAACTACTATATTAAATCATTTTATCATTTCTTCACAGATGCAT